GTGCGTGTGTGCGTGCGTGGGTGTGTGTGTGTGTGTGTGTGCGTGCGTGCGTGTGTGTGTGTGTGCGCGTGCGTGCGTGCGTGCGTGCGTGCGTGCGTGCGTGCGTGCGTGCGCGGGTGTGCGTGCGTGTGTACGCGTATGTGTGTGTGTGCGTGCGTGCGCGGGTGTGTATATGTATTATGCGTGTGCGTGCGTACGTGCGTGCGTACGTGCGCGCGTGCGTGCGCGTGCGCGGGTGCGTGTGCATGTTTTTCTGTGCGTGCGTGCGCGCGTGCGTGTGTGAATGTGTGTGAATGCGTGTGCGTGTGAATGCGTGGGTGCGGAGACTCAAATCAACACCCCGACTTGGGCCATAGGTGGAACTCCCTAAAGGGCACGATCCGCGTGAACGGTGTGCCACGCCGATACTCGGGACCCAGCGAGGAGCAAGTTACGAAACCCCTTGGGCCCACACTTGCATCCCACACTAAAAAATGTAAGTCGCACGCGCGAAGTCGTGAATTACCAAGTGAACCACTAAGATTCATTGGCGACGAGACACGCGGGAGAAACAACCAGAAAGCGAGCGAGCAAGGGCATGAAGCAGAGGGAACACGGACGGACAGAAACAAAAATGCCATTTCGCCACCTCCGAAAGCGCAACCCCATCACTGCACGCGGCGCGAATGGATAGAAGAAACGCACGGCTGGCAACTCGCAGTTTTTCGCGAGCAGAAGATCACCGGCCTCGCGGCTCAGGCCAGAAGTATCGAACGCGCCTCAGGACACAGGAGCAGGGGAGGGCGAATGTCGTCATGCTTTCTATATTTCAGGAGCTTGTACGTTCCCCCTGAAGGCAGCAAACGTCGGGGTCGGTGATGCACGCGCGCGCGCGTTTGCGAACGCGCGCGCGCGGGGGGGGGGGGCAAGAAAGAGGGCAGATGTCTCCAACGCTTCAGCAGACCGCGGGCCGCAGAACTTTCCCACCACCCAAAGAAGCGAATGCGCGCATAAAACATTCCGACCCCCAAAATACCCTGGGCCATCCTGCGGGGCCGCCCAACAGCCCCCCAATCCCATGGGCCCCGCGGCGGCCAGAAGCATGGCGGCCTCGACTGCGCCCTCGACGTCGACGGGCCCCGCGGAGGTCCCAGCGCCAGACTTGCTCGAGAGAAGCCAGGTCGGAAAGTCGCGCCGACGGGGGGGGGGGCGCGGACAACGTTGAAGGGGCTCCAGGACGCACAAATAAATGCACAAATGAAAAAGATGCCCCATAGTTTCCCATATGCTTAAGCGTTTTGCCCCCCCCCCCCCCCCCCCACGCACACACACACCACCACCACCACCACCACCACCACCGCGCACTTCCCATAATTTTGCATATTTTCCGGGGGGTCGACGATTAATTGCGTCTGTGTGTTACTTTCCCTCCTGAAGCATCTGAGGCGCGGTGTGACCAGACCGTCGATAGCCGCAGCCACGGGAGAGACCTGCCACGCAGGCGGTCGGGCGGCAACTGCAAACGTGCCGCGGGCATGCGGGTCGTGGATCAGCGAGACGCCGTAGGGGGCAGATGCGAGCGCCGCGACTGAACGCCCTCTCACACGGGGCAGCCCACGACGCGCCGCGCCCCCCAGGCCCCGAGAAAGCACCGAGGCTTTTCCACCGGCAGGGCGCGGAGTCTCGCGCAGGTCGGCGCGCGTGGCCTTGAAAGCAAGAACAATCGATCGATGGCCGACAGGACCAATGGGCACCACAACGCACTTCTCTCGAGGTCTAGGCAGAGCCCAGTCCGCGAGCACACTGCGCCACCCAAGTCACAACGACCGGGGGCGACAAGTGCGCATTGACAAATGCAGCCCCTGCAAAAAAAAACGCCGCTGCAAGACGGGGTTCGCTTCCACTCTCCGGAGCGCGAAAGACGGAATACATGGAGAGCGTGAACGGACAATCACGAAAGGACAAGCGTGCCCCACTCCACGACTGATTGGTCATCCTGGACATCTAAAACTAGGGTCCGCCAAATCCACCTCAACCTCCGAAACAACACAATGCCTGGACTGCAAGGAGGCGCATCTAGGGCGAGCAGCGCGCCGAAAACCACTCATGGCTACGCGAAAGGAACGCCGCGTCAAGATCCTAGAACAGCGCCCGCGCGCGCGGGCACCTTCCCCAGACGCACGATACTCGAAACCACGATTCCAGCCCACGACGTCGTCGACAATGTTCCTACCATTGATGCAGCCCCGGGCAAATCGAAGGACGCCGCAATGGGCTTGCGGCATAGTGGTCGCCCAAAGACACGAGGGGGACGCTTGGTTGCCGGCGCCGCAAATGGCCTGAGCGCGCGCGCGCTCGCGCCCCAGAACAGTGGCCTGACCTTCTTATGTACGATATGGGCGCAAGAATAATAGCGCCAAACTGACTTCCCCCAGGTGGCCCTTGCTTCCCGAAGCGAGCTTGGCGCCCGCGCGAAACAGGATTCGACGCGCGTGAACTTGCAGACTGCCGCGCGCGGCGCGGGGGCACGTCGGGGCCGCGCGCCCGGCGGCGCCTGGGGGCGAGAAATACCTGGAATGCGCAGACGCCAAGTTCCCGGCCACTCCGACGGGCCAATCGTGCGAGGAGAAATTAGTTCCCCCACCCTCGC